TTGTAATCATCTGTAACGGTTTGACCGCTTTCCAAATCAACTAGTAAAACACCCTTGGCATTCTAAAAAATTGATGCCATGACCTTCCCAGCAAAGGGTTATGACTTGAGCTTCTTTGGGGTAGATGATCTTGAATGTGTTTATTACAAACTATACATTTGTGTCTCTGGGTCGAAGTGATGAATCCAAGTTTCATCCATGGTTACGCTTCTATTGCAACCTTTGGATTAGGCGTTGGCTTTCAACAACTCGGATCCGCTTCTGCTCAGGAGACAACATTTTTGGAACCCATCTGGTACTAACCTTACTCATTCCCAAACTGACACTTTCTACAGCACTTTTAACCGTTTCCCATTTTTCCGGCTAACTTCCCAACGGTAATTCTTTTATCATATATAACCAAATCATAAACTTTATCCACAATTGTCGTTGTGGTCGATGTTCTAATCTCCTTCACATGATTGTCTACCTTGCATTCACTGTTGAATATGCCGGAACACCCCCTCCTAATGCTGCTTCTATATCCTGGTGGATTTCTTTCGGTGCCATTTTCTTTTAAATGAAATATTTGATCACGGTACGAAGTTTAATCTTCTCCATGACATTTTACACCACCTACTTCTTTCCTTAAAAAATCCGCAACACAAAATAAGCTCGTTAAGTTAAATGTTATGTGTTATTTACTCGTAAAAAGATTCAAAGTTAATATTTTTCAGAAAAAACAAAAAAACAACAACAACATACATTCTAGTTTGTTTGTTTTTTCAGGTCAGGCCACGAAATTTTCGGATAACCCTCTTAGAAGCACTGAATGAAGCATCAGTAACCTAAAATATCAGAGACATCCTGCCTGGTTATTGAAACTAAAAATGAACGAACCAAGAAACAGCCATCTGAAACATCAAAATCGCCATGTCTGATTGGTTTGGTTTTTGAATTTCGCGCAAAGCTACAAGAGGACTATCTGCGTTAGCCGTCCCTAATTTAGCAGTGTAAGACTAGAGGGAAGGCAGCTAGTTATCACCACCCACTGCCAACTCTTGGGCTACTCTTTTACCAACGGATTGGCCGTCGCATTATAACGCCCCCATGGCTGAAAGGGCGGGCATGTTTGGTTTGACCAGCGACCCTCAGATTGCGAGTCGAGCGCCCTGGCCATGCCGGGTCGGTGATTAAAGACAGCTCGAAAACACAATAAGGATGTTATATGGAGGTTTGTTTCTAACCCAATAAAACGATATTGTTGAAGGTAGTAAGTGAAAGTGTGTTATATTCAGATTTACTGTCGACTTCTCGACATAATTTTTCAAGTATCGTACACGTTTATAGTGTTCCAAGCATTACGTATAAGTTTGTTTGTTTGTTTGTAATTAAGCACAAAGCTACACAATGGGCTATCTGTGCTCTGCCCACCACGGGTATCGAAACCCGGATTCCAGCGTTGTAAGTCTGCAGACATACCGCTGTGCCACTGGAGGGCTAATATCAAAGAGCGAATAAAACAATTAATAAAAGAATGTACGATTCAGGACAAATGATTCAAGATTATTTTCCCGTGGAATCTGATATATCGAATTAGTCCAAGTGTTAAAACTACCAGACGGGCTACACATGAAAATGTGTGTTGAAAAAAGGTTGAATCCCTTTTCTTAGATTTTTGTCGATTCACTGCGAAACCTTTTTTTTAAAAAAAACAATGACTTTTTAATGAGCTGTGAGTCTAATGTAATTCCAACAACGTTGCGCGGCCTGGTATGATGGTTAGGGTATCAACTCGCAATATGAGGGTCGAGAGTTCGAATCCCCGTCACCGAACATGCTCGCCCTTTTATCGTAAGGGTCGTTATAATGTTACTGTCAGTCCCATTATTCGTTGGTAAAAGAGCAGCCAAATATTTTACGGTGAGTGGTGATGACTAGCTGCCTTCCCTCTAGTCTCTCACTGCTAAATTAGGGACGGCTTGCTCAGATAGCCCTCGTGTAGCTTTGTGTGAAATTAAAATCAATCAATCCAATAACGTTGCACTAGTCGTCATGCAATAACTGAAACTAAAGATGTACGACTCTGTTAATCTTTCTTTCTTACGTTGATAATAACGTGCAGATCAAATCTCAGACCAAACTCTGTCCTCACGGCGTATCTTCTGATACGATTACGTCACGAACGTCTTTCCTTAAACTACTAACAGAAAATAGCAACCTAGTCTATTCTATAACAACAGACGATTAAGTTTCTCACCAGTGTCTTCAATACAGATTTAAAGAGAATAGTGACCTAACATATGTTGAATGTGGAGAAACTTGAAAGAAATTGAAAATTTCAGGTTAATTTGTTATTATGATATAACGGACAACAGCAAAAATTATAAAACTTATTAAACAGTAATAACAAAAAACACGAATAAATGATTGGTATTCGGCATTTTCAGCTTCAACAGTACGTTGTGCGACACATCGGTTAAATGACCAGGTCAAAAACTCAGTTAGTCGCCCATAATCTGACATTGCCGACCAGAAAGAGGGTAACAAGTTGGCAGTAGCCCTCCACCTACACAGCTATCTTGAAGGAATAGGTGATTCATTGTCTTAGTTATAATATCCAGGAACGGATGTTGTCTTAATTATAATATCCACGAACGGATGTTGTCTTAATTATAATATCCAGGAACGGATGTTGTCTTAATTATAATATCCAAGAACGGATGTTGTCTTAATTATAATATCCAAGAACGGACGTTGTCTTAATTATAATATCCAGGAACGGATGTTGTCTTAGTTATAATATCCAGGCGCGGATATTGTCTTAGTTATAATACCCAGGACCGGATAGGATATTATAACTAAGACAAAGGAGCGGATATTATCTTAGCTATAATATCCAGGAGCGGATATTATCTTAGCTATAATATCCAGGAGTGGATGTTGTCTTAGTTATAATATCCAGGAACGGATGTTGTCTTAGCTATAATATCCAGGAACGGATGTTGTCTTAGCTATAATATCCAGGAGTGG